CACGGAAAAATACACACATCAGGTCAACAGAAAACTACACACATCAAGTCAACAGAAAACTACAAGCATCCGGTCAACTTGAAACCACACACATCCGGACAATTAGAAACTACACACATCAAATCAACAGAAAACTAAAAACTTCCGGTCAATTAGAAACTACACACATCAAATCAACAGAAAACTACAAACATCCGGTCAATAAGAAACTAAACACATCAAGTCAACAGAAAACTACAAGCATCCGGTCAACTTGAAACCACACCCATCCGGTCAATTAGAAACTACACACATAAAGTCAACAGAAAACTACAAACATCCGGTCAACTTGAAACCACACACACCCGGTCAATTAGAAACTACACACATCAAATCAACAGAAAACTACAAACATCCGGTCAATAAGAAACTACACACATCAGGTCAACTAGAAACCACACAAATCCGATCAGCTAGAAACTTTACACATCCGGTCAATTAAAAACTTCACATACCCGGTCAACTAGAAACTACACACATCAGGTCAATTAGAAACTACACCCATCAAGTCAACAGAAAACTACACTCATCAGGTCAACAGAAAACTACAAACATCAAGTCAACAGAAAACTACACACATCAGGTAAACTAGAAACTACACACATCAGGTGCATTAGAAACTACACACATCAGAACAACAGAAAACTACACACATCAGGTCAACAGAAAACTACACACATCAAGTCAACAGAAAACTAAAAACATCCGGTCAATTAGAAACTACACCCATCAAGTCAACAGAAAGCTACACTCATCAGGTCAACAGAAAACTACAAACATCAAGTACACACATCAAGTCAACAGAAAACTACAAACATCCGGTCAATCAGAAACTACATACATCAGGTCAACTAGAAACCACACAAATCCGATCAGCTAGAAACTTTACACATCCGGTCAATTAAAAACTTCACATACCCGGTCAACTAGAAACTACACACATCAGGTCAATTAGAAACTACACCCATCAAGTCAACAGAAAACTACACTCATCAGGTCAACAGAAAACTACAAACATCAAGTCAACAGAAAACTACACACATCAGGTAAACTAGAAACTACACACATCAGGTGCATTAGAAACTACACACATCAGAACAACAGAAAACTACACACATCAGGTCAACAGAAAACTACAAGCATCCGGTCAACTTGAAACCACACACATCCGGTCAATTAGAAACTACACACATCAAGTCAACAGAAAACTACAAACATCCGGTCAATAAGAAACTACACACATCAAGTCAACAGAAAACTACAAACATCCGGTCAATAAGAAACTACACACATCAGGTTAACTAGAAACCACACAAATCCGGTCAGCTAGAAACTTTACACATCCGGTCAATTAGAAACTTCACATACCCGGTCAACTAGAAACTACACACATCAGGTCAATTAGAAACTACACACATCAGATCAATTAGAAACTCCACAAATCCGGTCAGCTAGAAACTTTACACATCCGGTCAATTAGAAACTTCACATACACGGTCAACTAGAAACTACATACATCAGGTCAATTAGAAACTACACACATCAGGTCAATTAGAAACTACAAACATCCAGTCAATTAGAAACAACACACATCAGGTCAACTAGAAACTACACACATCAGGTCAACAAAAAACTACACACATCAGGTCAACAGAAAACTACATACATCCGGTCAATTAGAAACTACACACATCAGGTCAACAGAAAACTACAAACATCCGGTCAACTAGAAACTACAAACATCAGGTCGACTACAAAGAACTTACACCCGGTCAACTAGAAACTACACACATCCGGTCAATTAGAAACTACACACATCAGGTCAACAGAAAACTACACACAACAGAAAACTACAAAGAACTTACACCCGGTCAACTAGAAACTACACACATCCGGTCAATTAGAAGCTACACACATCAGGTCAACTAGAAACTACCTACATCAGGTCAACTAGAAACTACAAACATAGGGTCATCTAGAAACTACACACACCAGGTCAATAAGAAACTACACACACCAGGTCAACAGAAAACTACACACATCAGGTCAACAGAAAACTACAAACATCAGGTCAATTAGAAACTACACACATCAGGTCAACTACAAAGAACTTACACCCGGTCAACTAGAAAATACACACATCCGGTCAATTAGAGACTACACACATCAGGTCAACTAGAAACTACACACATCAGGTCAACTAGAAACTACAAACATCAGGTCAACTAGAAACTACACACATCAGTTCAATTAGAAACTACACACACCAGGTCAACAGAAAATTACACACATCAGGTCAACAGAAAACTACACACAACAAGTCAACAGAAAGCTACACACATCAGGTCAACAGAAAACTACAAACATCCGGTCAACTAGAAACTACACACACCAGGTCAACAGAAAACTAAAAACATCCGGTCAACAGTAAACTACAAACAACCGGTCAATTAGAAACCACACAAATCCGGTCAGCTAGTAACTTTACACATCCGGTCAATTAGAAACTTCACATACCCGGTCAACTAGAAACTACACACATCAGGTAAATTAGAAACTACACACATCAGGTCAATTAGAAACTCCACAAATCCGGTCAGCTAGAAACTTTACACATCCGGTCAATTAGAAACTTCACATACCCGGTCAACTAGAAACTACACACATCAGGTCAACAGGAAACTACACATATCAGGTCAACAGAAAACTACACACATCCGGTCAATTAAAAAATTACACACATCAGGTCAACAGAAAACTACAAACATCCGGTCAACTAGAAACTACAAACATCAGGTCAACAACAAAGAACTTACACCCGGTAAACTAGAAACTACACACATCCGGTCAATTAGAAACTACACACATCAGGTCAACTAGAAACTACACACATCCGGTCAACTAGAAACTACAAACATCAGGTCAACTAGAATCTTCACACATCAGGTCAATTAGAAACTACACACAACAGGTCAACAGAAAACTACACACATCAGGTCAACAGAAAACTACACACATCAAGTCAACAGAAAACTACACACATCAGGTCAACAGAAAGCTACAAACATCCGGTCAACTTGAAACCACACACATCCGGTCAATTAGAAACTACACTCATCAAGTCAACAGAAAACTAAAAACAACCGGTCAATTAGAAACTACACACATCAAGTCAACAGAAAACTACAAACATTTGGTCAATTAGAAACTACACACATCAGGTCAACTAGAAACTACACCCATCAGATCAACAGAAAACTAAAAACATCCGGTCAACAGAAAACTACAAACATCCGGTCAACTAGAAACCACACAAATCCGGTCAGCTAGAAACTTTACACATCCGGTCAATTAGAAACTTCACATACCCGGTCAACTAGAAACTACACACATCAGGTCAATTAGAAACTACACACATCAGATCAATTAGAAACTACACACATCAGGTCAACTAGAAACTACACACACCAGGTCAACAGAAAACTACAAACATCCGGTCAACTAGAAACCACACGCATCCGGTCAATTAGAAACTTCACACATCAGGTCAATAGAAAACTACACACATCCGGTCAACTAGAAACTACACACATCCGGTCAACTAGAAAATACACACATCCGGTCAATTAGAAACTTCACATACCCGGTCAACTGAAAACGACAAACATCCGGTCAACTAGGAATAAATCACCCTCGGCCAACTAGATTATATGTATAAGGTAAACTAGTTAGGACAAACATCCGGTCGACTAAAATAAAACACACATTCTGTCAACAGAAAAACTACACACAACCGGTCTTCTAGAAGCAATACTCATTCGGTCATCTTTTTCAAACATTGACTAGAGAAAAACTCATTGACATATTTTTCTCCTTTATTCATGTTATACATGCATACAAAACATCGTATATCTCCGGAGATATGCAGTCATTTAGAATTGCCATCACATTACTGGTTAATAATATTAGAGACTCAACTCATGGCTTTATATGGTCACCAGACAGTGGCCGAAGTTTGCCCAGGGCGTGACTGGTCAGCACCTTATCCTTTGTCTTATCGTAAAAATGTTTGGAATGACACCAGCCATTATTTCACCTCGGGTGTACAATGTCCATTAAGGTATGATGCGGATAAGCTGTTTGATACAATGTTCCCTACAACCCTAAACAAGATATTCTGTTTTTCAGAAAGTATTAAAACAAAAGTTCAAACTGAGTAATTTGACATTTTAAATGTGTTTTTAAAATAATTCTTATCCCTTGGAAGTGATTGTGTCGTCTTTTCTGGTGTCTTTTCCAATTAAGGTATTTATACAGTAAACCTATGTTAATTTCTTGTAGCATAATATATCAAACAAAATCATTGGCATTATTTGTGAAAGTCCGGAATAAAAATTTTTACTATCAAGTTAAACCCCACGATAAAAAAAATATATTTTTTTATCAATTATCTTATTTACGAGAAATTCGGGTTAATAGTATTAAGTAACGCAAATGAAACTTATGTTAATGTAAGCTTCAATAACGCAGTTTGGCGTGCTATTTTAATGTCCTGAATGTCAAATGTTTTTATTGTTGTTATTGTTGTTTTCATATCTAGTTTATGGTCCATGAAGCGACGACTCCTTTTCCGAATAAATAATGTATAATATATTCTTGTTCATTTAAACCCAGATTTTTGTAACGTAGTTATTGTGCGCAATTTTTTCAAATCCACAGGTTTTGTTTTTAATCATTCTGTAAATTAAGATGAAAGGAAATGTGTTTACATATGTAGCATTTTTCGATAAGATGATCTTGTATTATAAAACTACAATAAAAATCTGTTTGCTATAACAACTGTCGTTATCTGTGGAAGTCATCTTGTGTAACTCCCCGGGCCACGCGGGTAACACGGCCACCTGTTGTATATAGACAATACCTCAATAAGTATCCAGTGGTCGGAGCGCGAGGGATGGACGCTCTAACTAGCCTCGTATATTTGGTGTGTATATCTGCTGTTTCGTCTTTCGGTAAGTATTTTATATGTTCATCTCCTCTTTTTGTTGTATTATCGACCTTATCGGCACCCTATAAAATCGATTCTGAGAAAAAATACGACAGAAAAGTTTTAAAACGTTTTATTCCTTTAGGTTTCATAAAAAGGAATGAAGTCACCGTATTTTATTAATTGTTTTCTTAACTTAGCTAAAACAAAAGAGAACGGTATACATTGAACGATTTCTTTTGTCAATAAACCCAAGCTTTTGTGTAATTTACATCCATTTCGTTGATTTAATTTTCTTTCTACATTTATCTACACACCAGGAAGCACATAATTACTACATGCCATTGCCAAGTGCTTTTGGTTTGTTTATTAGTTGTTTTTCAGTTGTGAATTTCAACATGTAATATCGTACGACGGCGTAAAATATACGTATCAAATACTATACTTTATTTTTATGAGAATCTTGTATTCAACTTTGATATTGAAAACCTGACCGTGTCAGTCCTGAATAGATCATGTTCTTCTTCTCCTTCTTCTTCTTCTTCTTCTTCTTCTTCCGATAACTGCGACAGAACTCATAAGTATGAGTGCAAGTGTCGCAATCAGGTGTTCTTGAAAGTTGCATTTGTGTAATAAAACATTTTTATAATATGTTTGGAGATGAAAATGATACATGGCAACAAATGTAGGTTCAAGAACACAGTATTTGTAATACAAATAATATAATATAGATTCAATGAGGTGAGATATTAAAAGAAAGTATGTTTCATACTGGCAGAAGGCATGTGCAAGTAAATGATTGGGCAACCCCCACCGACAATACTTACACATCTACCAGTATTAGGGCAGGGAAAGGGGGTTAGGTTGTATAATGACAGATAAAAATATGTACAGCTCTGACAATATTTGGTTCTAGCGGAGGGTAGTTTTGGGTAAGTAGTCAGATAGAGCTGTTTTGAATGAGTTCAAATCAGGTGACTAAGCTATATGTTCTGGAAGTGAATTCAGTGTTCTAATAGTCCTAGGAGAGAATGGATTTCTGTATTGGTCATGACTAGTGGAAATCTGCTGAAGTTTGTGCTCCCCTGGTTCTACGGTCATGTATCCATGTCATAGGTCATAACCATTACATCAATATCTTTAGAGCACTATAGCCTAGTACTGTGTTGTCCTGGGTTCGAATCCTAGGGGAGGACACTTTGCTTGAATGAATTACAAAATATCGTTTCTCTCTTATTTATATTTGTAAACTGATGTGATGCTGTTTGAATATGACCGTCATTACGTGAAATTGCAAAATATCTTAACAATTAACTAAGAATGTGACGTTGGTATTGTGTCGATTTTCACCAGAAACCCCGGGTAAGAGGAAGGGAGAAAAAGATGGTCGTATGGGAGAGGGTGTGGTAAATATATCGCAAGTTAGAAATTTTGTATACCAAATCCATAATGTATGATAGACCCAATTAATCTCTACCATTTAAACAGTTTATCAAATAGAATGATTTTTTATAGTATCTTCTTTTCCTGATTCTTTTTTTATCGTTTGCTCAATACCTTTGTAAATATTGGCAACACAACATGTTTAAACTTACCTTTTTTGGAAATTCTCAAAAAAAGTATTGATTTTGACTCGATTGGTCATAGTTAGGCGATACAAATTTAATCAAAAGTAGGCCGTTTTTATTCGAAATATTTTTTTAAAATATATAACAGTACATCTGAAGTTCAGTCTATTGTTTTCCGAGAACCATCTCGCTCAGTAAACACGCGTGTTATTCCAGACCTTTGTAGTTTACATACCTGTATAAACTTAGAGATCGATGATTACCGATAACATGAATGACCGCTGGCCAGTATGATCAGCGTTGGAGATAGGCGGGCTTGTTGGTTGACCGATGGCAATCGCTGACCAGTGAATCAAAAACCAACGGATCGTTCGTAGTATTTCACATTTATCAGATTAATGTCATTGTCATTATTCTGAAGATGTGTTTCTGGTTTAAGAATGCGTTTTTTGATGGTATGAATTAAAAAGGCTATATAAAATATGTCCATTCTGATGAGCGATGCGGTCTGATGTTGATTTCATTGATATATTCAAAATTTCAATTGCGATGGTTATGATAAGTACTTCAAGATTTTAAGATTTTTATTCCTGCACTCAGACAAACTTTCGTGTGTAACATGATTTCGTCAGGTTTTACAAGTGTGTGACAAGGCGGATAGAAATATTAAACGTACCTATGATTTAGTAAGTTATCTGTAGGCTTCCTCAGCTTCATGGTAACGGAATACATGGTGTATGCCAATGTGCTGGATACTTGTTTACAAGGAGCTTTGTACCCTAAGAGTGTGGATGTACTATATGCTAAATAATATCATCTTCTCAAGTACTAGGTCAATTACACCACCCGTAACTTCAGCAGAGATATTCGCTGTCCTAGTACAAATTCATGACGAGTCTACTTTAAAAAAAATTTGTTACACAACCTTTAACGGAGCCTCGCCTTGTAAAGTCGATAAATAATAAACACAAACAACTGTTTGTCACCTTTTTTCCCTTCTAAATGAAATTAGCACTATGCGGTCGAAAGATTGTCATTGAACTAGATATCAAGAACTATATTTCATTTTTATAATTCTCTATTCCGTGACGTCAAATTAAAACAAGAGTTTTGAAGTACTTTTTAGCATTTTACATATTATATAAATGGCAAAGGTACACAAGCAACAGTTGGAAACAAGCGGGGTTTATAAACAGATATCGGTGTTGTTATGTGAAAGAATCTTGTTTATGTGTAGTAAACCCGCTATATCTAGTAAGGAAAAATATCTGTATTGTGTAATAAACGTATCCCTGTGTGTAGTAAACACTATGTGGTACACCAGCTTAATGTTATTTGTGGTTTAGTGTGGTAGAGTAAATTGTATTGTTATTGTAATTTGAAGCTGAATACATTTAATATTATGTTATATGCTATGTAAAGTACCAGCCCCCAACCCCACCATATCCTTGCGCTAAGTTGTCTGTCCTTAACAAAGCGCACAGGGTCTTCGTGTGGAGAAAACCAACGTTCAGCGGTGTACAGTTTTGTTTTTATTTACAGTGAATTTAGCCTTGAATAAACCGGCTGTTCAGAACATGTATGGAGTCGACGTCGATCCACAATATGGTTATTGTAACGAAAGTTTCGCTACTAACGGAGAAAGGTTCAATCCTAGTGGGGCATGGGAGTGTGCGTGCACTACAAACGAAACCAACACCTTCCCAGTGTGGCAGGTAGATCTGGAGGCGGAGGCTATTATCACACAGTTCGTTATAGACATTGTGACACCGGGTGAGTAATGCAAGTGTACAAATGGTTTGTTTTGTTAACGACAAAATGACATATTTTCTTATGCCTCTTTTCGTACACTTTAGATGTCTGCGCACCAATTGCAATTTCTTTAAAAAAGTATGAAAAAATACATTCCCTTCTTGCAATTTAAATTGTTAAATGTTGGAAACATGTTTTACGTGTGGTATTAAAGAACAAACTGATAGTTGATTATGGCAACGTTATGCATTTAGCATCAGTTTTACTAAGCAACTTCAAATGACGTCTTGCAAAAGAGAGTTTGAAAACAATAACAACAAAAGCGTTTTTGCCTAAACTCATGCGCTTATTCACAAATTACCATGCATCGAAAATATTTACTTTTTGTAAGTCGTTTGTATAGGAAAGCATGTACCCTTATGGCAAGTTTTTGTTACAGTTTTGCTGGAGGGCACAAAAGTGTACGTGTCGGACACGGCGGATAGTTATAAACAGGGCGTGTTGTGCTTTCACGAGACGACGGCCCGGAACAAACAGAGAACCGTCTCCGTCGACTGTCACGCCAAAGGTCGCTACATCACTTACGAAGACGAGATTTCGCATGAGCCCGGGAAGAAAGGCGTTATAATAATAGTCTTGTGTGAACTGGAGGTTTACGGTAAGTGCGGAGTTCTGATTTATTGTTATGTGCCCTTTTCGGGATATTACTTCAGCTTTAAACACAAACATAAATATTTTCACAAGAAAATGTATCAACAACACCCCTTTCCCGTGGGGTGATGGCCTACACTGTGCGTTAGTCCGTTTATACATTATGGGCCTTGCTATTACAAGCCTGATTGGTTGCAAATTTTCATAATGCATTTTTTAAGAAATGTCTGAAAATGTGCAGACGTTTTTTTTGTTTCCTATCTTGAATAAATAAAAGACATTCAACGCCATCTTCTCCATAACTCACGCACTGCCACCTATGTGTCTGATCAGGGCACACAGCGATTTAAAGTTACAAGTTTCTGTTTAAACATATGTAGACTGATAATGTGAACACACAGAAAACGTAGGTGAGTGTAACCCTTGTAATTTCGAGAATGAAGTGGCTCTCGGGTGGCCACAATACATATATCTGTATACACCGTCTTCAAAACATTCTTGAAGACTACTTACGCGTTCCTTCTCCATTTAATACCATGCAGGATGTAGCAACGGAACCATGGGAGATAACTGTGACGAACCATGTCCTGACTACTGCAGGGATAGAATGTGTTTCCCGGAAAATGGCACGTGCTGGTCCGGATGTGAGGAATTGGGCAAGACGTCAGAATTCTGTAATGAAAGTGAGTACAACTGATTAACGCATTTTAAAGATACTCGAGTTTGCAAAAAAAAAATTGGGGTACAAAGTATCCAGAATGATGAAAACCAAAACCAGATATACCGTTGGAAAGATGCGGATATCAACACTGTCCAGGATTTGTTTACTCTTTGGTTTGTAATCGAAGTAATATCTTTCCAAAGCAAATTCGCTGTAGGAGTCGAACTCGAGTTAAATAACAAAAGATCTATTTATTTTAACTTCCTGTGTCCATCTTTTCCCCCCAGCCTGTCTTGACGGAATATTTGGACAAGACTGCCAGGGAGTTTGTCACTGTGAGGTCGGTACGTGTGACGTCGTTACCGGTCAGTGTCCTTTCAACGTTTGCAGTAAGGGCTGGACAGGTCTCAACTGTAGTACAGGTTCGTCAATTATTTCATAAGACCACTTCAGCGGGAGTCTGTTAGTTTCAAATGAAATGTGAAATTAAAGAATATTTAGGTTTTGAAATTCTCAGAGGAATGAGGTGACAACGGAATGAGGTACTTCTATGACGTTAATCACTTCAACGTTGTATCTTTTTCCATTGACGAGATGACAAGTACAAAATGCGGTAAAAAACGGTAAAAATGTGATTACATAATCAGAAGGTTTGGCTGGACACTACATAATGCAAACATATTGAAAGTAGGAAAGATTTTGAACACACCTTACCGATCACCTAACCTTTAATATCTCACCATCATTCTGTTTCCAATGGTAATAAGAGTTATAGCCATTGATTTACTCAGCCTAACAAGGCCTTGTCAAGTCTATTACTCCTACGATGTAAATCTTACTTACATTTTGAAAATCGGTTTTCTATTGTACAGTTTTACCTGTGCATTGTACAGTGTTACCTTTGCATTGTAACAGCTTTTTTTTTTTTTTTTTTTTTTTTTTTTTTTTTATATAGAATAACAGTCGAACCTGTTCTTGCTAACACCTTCATTAAGAGACCAATAATGTTAAGAAACCACTTTCAATGTTTCCCATTGTAGTGATTTCATTGTGAACTGGATCTGTAAACGAAACAATCTGCAATAAGAGACCACTTATTGGGACTCTCATAACACCGGTTAGACTGTATATACCTTAGCTTCCTGATAACAGTTCAAGTGTTGTATTAACTGTCAGTTCACCTAATATGTTCACATTTTTATTAGTGTGCCCGAATGGAACATTTGGATCCTTGTGTAGCGAAAGCTGCCGATGTGCTGAAGATACATGTAACCCAGTCAACGGGACGTGTCCAGGGGACCTCTGTGGGCGGGGACGCGTGGGCCCCACGTGTAGTGAAGGTTTGTAGATTACTTTTCTTCTCTGAAAAAATGAAAGCGTTGCCGTTTTCCATGTCACACTCATTAAGATCGTAGCCTTCCTACAGTTGTCTGAAACAAGTGTGAACATTTATACTTTTTTTTTTTTTTTTTTTTTACAAAATAACATACAATGCCAGTATCTCCTTGCATATAAAATGTCTCTGTTTTTTTTAAACAACTGGGATTTTCTTGATGAAAAGATATCAAATAAATGAGTTAAAATCAATATCAAATATTCCTAACCGCTATAATGTATGATAAACAGTTTTGTAATAACATTTAAGAAGTCGATTGCATGAAAATAACAACTTATCTTTACAACAAACAGGATAAAGTGTTTTCAAGTGATCATAATCATCATTGGCACAAACAGCTTACTTTTTACTCAACAGTTCATCTGTATTCTACTAAACAACAATTATTTTTACAGATTGTCTAAGCGGAACGTTTGGTTTCGACTGCAGCAATATTTGTCCCCATTGTGTACAGGAAAGCTGTGACCCTGAATTCGGCGTCTGCACATTAGGGAGGTGCAAGATTGGTTGGGCCACGAAATACTGCAATGAAAGTGAGTATTTTTAACTATCTAACGTTGATACTAACTTTGAAAACCTTGGTCCTACTTTGGTATTGCTGTTGTTATGCACCTTGGTCCTACTTTGGTATTGCTGTTGTTAAGCACCTTGGTCCTACTTTGGTATTGCTGGTGTTGGAAATCATAATGTCTTCTTATCTGTGGACGACATAATCTTGCGAAAATATTGTGGTAAAGTTGTATACCACATCTAACAGGGACCGTCCCTCCGCCCAACTTGTACTCCAAAGCACTCTCTGTGTGACGACGAATCGACAAACAGTATTTCGTATAATTTTATCTCGTATCATCACGATAATTCGACTGGTTTGTAATGTCTACTCAATGGATTTGTATTTGGTCGTGCCTCTGTTACTTCCGTCATTTTATTTCCGGGATTTCTTTAAGACATGTGCTACCTTACCGCGTTCCCATTGCAGGTTGTCCTGTGGATAGCTTCGGCCAGGATTGCTCGGAGGCCTGTCACTGTAGGAACGGGACCTGTGACCCCATCACTGGCAAATGTCCGAACAATCTCTGTCGGGACGGATGGCTGGGACCCACATGTAATCGAGGTGAGGCCGATACTCTATTAGCCCTTCTAGAGCAAGATGGACCTGGTTATTCTTGCATCACTGTGTTTCATAACTGTAAATACGCTGTACATTGGGAAATGAAATAGTATCTTATTCGGACCTATAAATACAAACACAGCTTTATTTTATGATCCACCCACTTGTTCAGCTCAACCATTTTCAAAACCTTAAGCTACAATACTTACTATCACGGAATTACTGGATCTCGTTCATATACCAGGGCTTGAAAGTAGAAACTCTACTTCGTTTGTTTCCTAGCTCGATATTTATTTAAAGAACGACAATATTTGTTATCTCAAAACATAGAATTCTCCATTTTGATTCTCTGATGTCAACGCTTTTGATGATTTTTTCTTAAAATTTTCACGATACTGCCTTTACAAATACATTGACACGTCTTGGATAATATTTTGTTGTTTCTGCAAACATTTAAGTTTGAACCTATCATACTTCAATAATTAACATTTTATAAGAAATACTGTATTCCGTGAGTGTATTCTTGGTTTTGTGATTTTTAGCTTGTGACGCTGGAAAGTATGGAAGAGACTGTCTGAATACCTGCGTCTGTGTCAATAGTGCCTGTAACAATGTTAACGGCACGTGCTTATGTCCGAAGGGACGGACAGGACCGGCTTGTACCGATAGTAAGTACACATGTATGACTTTATCTAAGGAGTAACCAGGATTAGTTTTAGGGTTATACAGTGTATACCACAAAGCTGAGTGCATGTTTGTGCTTAAACCGCATATGCACAAATGTGCACACAGTTTTTTTTCCGGTTTATACCGTATAACTCCCAAACTATCTATGATTATTATTCCTTATTAAATATAAAAGCTAAAAACACGTTTTTTGTCATAGTGAACGAATATCTTTATAAACATTTCTGTCATGGAGGTAATAGCAAAACTAAATTATATATATAATTGCTCTCGCTGATTAGTTGAAATAACCGCTGTAACGAAACAGGGATTGATACCAGTCAGTTGAGAAAGGATAATTTATGACAAGAACAATCTGCAGATGAATAGCATTAATTGTATATGACATGTTTAATAAACACCTGTATGAAATCAAATGCAGTAGACACTATCATATTCATCTTCAATTTTTAAAGGCTGTCCAAACGGGACTTACGGAGCGGACTGTAAAGAGATTTGTTATTGTGAGGGGAGAAAGTGTGATCCTGTTAGCGGCCTGTGTTACGCGGGAGGCCCGTGTGAGGCGGGCTGGAAGGGGTTGACCTGTAGCGAACGTAAGTGTTCAGTGGAATCCATCGGGAAATATAATTTACTATAGGATTTTACTACAGTATGTTAGTTCTGTTATTATGGTAGTACAGTGTATTACTAGAAATTTTGCTCAGAACTTTTGTACGTTTAATATACACTGTTCATGTTTCCTGTCACCGTGTTTACCTGCTCCCTATCCTTCCACTGCGTCTACAATTATAATCGCAAAGAAGAGGTCCCTTTAGTGCTGATTCCTTTTCACTTGGAGTATTCCCCTTTTATAGTATGCTGTTGTGTCTTTACTGACACCTCTCCCTTATCACACCATTGTGCAACATGCGTTGTTAATAATTGTTGGGCCTTGGACACATTTACCTATTAGCATTGTCATTCCACACTTTTTTGTATTGTTCCAGCTTGCGATGCTGATTATTTTGGTCAGAATTGCACTCAGAAGTGTTACTGCTGGAACGGAACTTGTGACCCCGTGAACGGCACGTGCCTGAACGGTGCCGACTGTCAGGACGGCTGGACTGGACCTCACTGCGACCAAGGTACTGGTTTCTCATTGGCCCCTTTTAACAAACGAGTAAACAGTTTCAGAACCATATATTGTACAAGTTACTAATTTCATATTAACAAAACGATAATAACCCAAAAGGTCCGTCGGGTATCATACGAAACATCAGAATACCGTAGATGTTAGCTTTGATGTTTAGCAGGATAATATATAGACTAAACAAAACAGACATTTCTTCGGGTTTCAGATAAACTTTTGAGAACATTGTTTTAGATGTGCAAATTGCCTAGTGTGGTATTTTTGCGTGAAATTTAAGTTTCCAATTTGTTGATATGCATAGTTTTATTCTGCTCAACACCGATGCATCAGAAACAATAAAACTTTAACAACCTTTACTTTGCAGTGTGTGAAAAAGGAACGTTTGGTAGAAATTGTAGCGAGACGTGCTATAATTGTCTATACGGAGACTGTGACCCCTTAAACGGGAGATGTACTTCCGGTTTATGTCAGGATGGATGGCAAACAGATCTCTGCAACAAACGTATGTTTACAGTTCTGTATTTATGATGACAAAATAAAAATTAGGTATAAAAGATTTTGTTTGTTGAGATCTGTATGAAGTATTTTTCAAGCTATTTAGGATTGGTAATGCGTAAATGGAGATCTATAAGGGTATATAGAAATTGAAATTGGTTATAAAACGAAAAGCACTACAGTTAGTTTTCCTATTTGTGGCAATCTTACATTTTATTACTTGGTGATAATTAAGCATTGAACTGTTTTTGTATGGTATTTATGATCTATTTGAATGACACAGCTTTGCAAGCAAACAAATCATAATGCGCGCATAAATATCATACAAAAACAGTTCAATACTTATATTTACGTTTTCTCTGCCTCTTATGTTCTTTTTTAACTTATAATTTATAATTAAAATTAAAAATGCCCACCTTATCGACAGTCCACACAATTTCGTTCAATAGTTTGAACAGCGTATTGTCGCGTGCTGATTGGCAAGCAAAGTAGTACTTTGACATTTTAACAAACACTTCAAATTTATTCCACAATTTAGTATCAATTCAATTTCGTATGATATGTCTATAGGGTGATTCCAGTTTTTCAATAGAAATCTGAGCTGAAAGTTAGATTTGAAATTGTTTCGATTTTCCCCCGGAACAAATTTCGCGCATGGATAAATACAGTGAACACCGTGAATGGGACCTTGACCTCCACGAGGGAGTTATTTTTGGAAGTTAATTCGAACTTTTCTCTTTGCTCATTTTGTGAAGAATCCAGGCGTGAATGTATTTGTTGATTGTATGGGAACCCGACAACAGTCGGTAGATTCTATAACAGCATCGTTATTTGACATGTCGTCTGAAACTG